ATAAAGGCCATCAGGATGAAGCCCAACCAGATGTCATAGCCCACTGCAAATATGGGCAGAATGGATTGTGGAATGCGACTGGCCTTGGGCACATAGATGCACAATTTATCATCGTAGACAGTAACTGTAAAGTCCATGTAATCCTGCACCAGATAATCCTTGACAAAGAAGCCCGTCAAGCAAATGTCCAGGCCATCGTTCAGTATGGAGCCAATCGCTCCATTGTAGCTGCCATTGGCACTGCGCTCCCTGGCGAAAAAGAGCAGAAAAATAAGCTTAAGAACAGTTCCAGCTGCTAGACTAGAGAGCTGCTTACCCAAAATAGTTTTTATCCGGCTGCTGCAGCAGCATCGTAAAGTTGAGCAGCTCGCCTATCTCCTTAGCCACCTCCCAGTCGACACCCGTGATGCGCCGCAGCAGACCTGTTTGGGGATCCAGCTTTGGACGCGAATAGACCGACTTGAAAATCTGCACGCGCAACGGATAGCCCTTCATGTCATGGAATAATAGATGGGGCAATGCCTCGCCACCCGCATATGGCACCAAGCGGCCAAAGGAGTTCTCATACTCGTTGTCATTGCCCCATTGATCATTGTAGCTGCCATCCCAGGTGGCTTCTGCGCTGCGCGCAAACGGATCGTAGATCCAGATGTCGGTATCTGTGATTATGTAGCGATTGAATACTCTATGCTGTGTCCACAGCTGGCGACAGCTATGAGCCAGCTGCAGCTGCTCTTCCGGCCTCAGGCTGTCCAAAGCATCAGCCACTATATAGAAATAGACGCCGGCGCGCTCTGTTATGCTGGCGGCGCCGCGGTTCGAGATCAACTGCGCCAGACTGATGACCAGGGCAAAGCTGTCCCGGCTATCCACGCCGACCAAGCTGCTAGCCATCTCCACCGGCTGCTCCTCCATGTAGCTGTGCACGCTGTGTGGCATATCGGCGTGCTGCATAAACCACATGGCATGTCCATTGCGGGCATCTTCCTGCAGCTGGTCGCGCCGCAGCAGCACATGGAGAAAGGGTATGCTGCGCATGGGCTCCGCCAGCAGCACATCCAATTGGGCTCGCCTGGTTTGGCAGCTCAGGCAGCCTAGGGCCAAGAGGAGAAGATGTAGCCAGCCGTTCGCCATCGCGTTGCATCCACAAATGGCCCAGAACTCGGTCGACACACATTGCCCAACTGGGGCCCACTTCATGTTTTGACACCTGCAATTTTGTTTGTTTGCCCAAACGTAATTAGAGACCAGTTATGTCAGCTGCCATTCTCCCAGCTGGTACCGCCTTCTCCTTAAGCAAACAACACCGACGAGGGGCCGACTTCTGGCTGGTAAATCGAAATCGAAATGGAAATTTATGCGACTTTCATTCTGCGTGACACTGATTTATAGAGCAGGGTGGTGCCGGGCTCCTTTACAAATCGACACAAGTGATATAAAAAACCAATTCATTGCCAAATCAACTCAATTCAATTCATAGTTTTGTTGCCGAGCAGCAAGCAGCGCAAATCGAAAGAAAAACATTCGCCCAGCCAATTCAATGGAGATTTCCTCTTCAACTTCTCTGCACACTGGACTCGCTGTCTCAGTATCATAATATTTACACTCTCAATAAGTAAAAGTTAGCTTTGCATTAAAAAAGGCTGCACGATTCGGGTTTCGAATCGGGTTTCGACATTCATTAATACAGGCCTGGGCATATAAGGCAACTTTATTTAATTTTATTTAAATTGAATTATATTTACATAATTTTATGTATCACAAAATGTCTTAATGGTTGCTTCTTTCTTCTTAAGCTGGCTCGACTTATGACATTTTTATTAGAATTAATTTACTTTGAGCCTTAATCCATTCTTCAATGCGTGACTGTGACATGGTGTTTCTCTCTGGTAAATGGATTTATTATTTTACTATCAACAACAGTATTTACAATAGAACATGTTAAAGGTTAAACCGATTGGCCACCTACAGAAAGTCCATTACTTTCACTTAATATTCAGGGACATTTGACATTTTTATAAGTGCTATGATAAATATGATAACAACAACTGCTCTGCAATTGCGCCTAAGCATTAAAGTTTTTGTAGTTAGCCAAAGCACTTTCCCATAAATATATATTTGGCAATATTTATAAAGAAAAACTACATTAAAATTGTATGTTTAACAAAAGCTGTTGGTAGGACATCCAGTACCCAAATGAAAGTTAAAATTTGCATGTCTAGAAGAAACCCAATTCAAGCCAGGCAACAACTTGAAATGGCAGAAATTCCGACCTGTCCAATAGACTTGTTTTTCAATTTCCTTATGGTTGGCATAACCACACTTTCTGTAACCCCAACTGATGTCCGTAAGCCCATCGCTTTCGTCGTTGCGGCTACGAATCAGATTGTTAGTTTCGATTGTTAGCCGGTTGCCTTTTTTGCGTACTTTCTAAAGCGTGCAACAAGCGGTCCAATTACAAAGGAAACCGTGACACCTTTTGTTTTCAAAGAGCATACGCTCATGTTCGAAATATATATACAACAGGTGATCCAAGCCAGTAACTATCGTTAAGACCATAAATTTAATGCAAGGTCAAAATATGATTAGATTAAGATTTATTTATCAAAACGAGGAATATATTGAAGGCAGAAGGAAGGGCGGGCAGGGTTATTATTAACACAGAAATTATAATGCACATTTTTATTTTTATTAGTTTTAATATTATAAAATATAATTATTATTGCTATTATAAATAATATTATTCATATAAATAATTGTTACATATTGCCATTATTAATTGTGTAATGATTAATATGAATAATTTTATTGTTATTTATAATTATTATTTATATTATTATTATTAATATAAGTATTGATATTCTTCTTATTTTCTTTTTCTTATATTTTTAAATGATGGTTTTAGTGTACTTGTCACAGGGTATTTCCTCGGCGAAAATTCTCAATTTTTTTATTTTGTTTTCCAACAAGTGCAAAAAGTCAAATTTTCTGCTCCAATGTGCGTCAAGCACTGTTTTTGCCCCAAAAATTGAGTGTTGCTGGCGCCATTCCCGCTGCTCAATGTGTGTGTGTGTGTGTGTGTGTGTGTGTGTGTGTGTGTGCGTCCATGGCCATATCGACACGTGCGAGTTTGCGAGCTATGTGGGCACAGCTTTGTAGTGGATCCCCTCGACCCGCTCCTAATCTACACACATGCTCATGCGTTCAGTCGCGTCGTCGTCTGTCGCTGCCAACTGCACCAACAAAAACCATCAATAAAGTGTGCTACGCTTTTCCTTCGCAGCTTGCAATCGCTTGCTCTCGCTTTTGCTTGGACACTCACACACACACACACACACGCACACACATAGAGGCACACGCATACTTGTGTGTTTCGAAATGAAAAATAAATTGGAAAATTGAAAAAGCAATTCATCGCATTAGAAACGTGCATTGAATTGAAGGCTGCTGACGTTGTCTATCAGCGGGCAGCGCCGTTTTGGTAGTTTATCGCTCATACGCCAGGTGTGACGGCACGAAAGTTGATGCAGCGCCCGCACCCTTTGCAACGCTGCAAATGCATCAAGACAATTGCCATCAAGAAACGAACTTGCAGCTGCAAATTGCCAAAAGCGTTGAAACGCTGCTGTCACGAAACCCTCACACTGGTTTGATGCTGCAGTGGCAAACGGTTGATACGTCGAAGGTTTATGACCGTGCGATAAAATCAAATTGGAAAGCTTTAAGTTTGAAAACGTTTTGCCATTTATTATTATGACGAGCCCGTTATATGCACTTCACTAAGCTTTTACGAGATCCGACTCCCAAAAACGAATGACGCCGACGTGCGTGTCATTTGAGGTTGCCCAGTGAACGGTTCGAAGCGGCAGGGTGCAGACTCTGCTGCAGTGCAGCGAAGCGAAATGAAATCATTTGTACGTAGCACGTGAAAATGAAATTTTTACATCAGCACAAATGCTTTTGCGGCATTGCCAATGCCATTGGCCATTGTGCCAGTTGCATTCTTATATATTTTTGCACTTAATTCCACATCATTTCGCACCAAAAAAAAATAAAAATAAAAAAAAAAAAAACGAAGCTGTATTGAGCCCAATATAGCGTTCCCCATGGCCCTGACGGCTATAAGTTCCATTGCATTTACATCTGTTGGCGCAGAAATTGTAAGTGGAAAAAAAATATATAGAGAAGAGGGAAAGAAAATGCAATCACGCCGGATTTGGCACCTGGCAGAGCCAGCAAAGCCAGCAGTGCATCCGCAGGCATGCCCCAGGCTTGCAATTGGATTACATTCTACGAATCGTCACTGCAAGCCAAACAGTTGCCACTCCATTTGCCTAACAAGTCATTCCGGATATACAGACGCTGCTTGAATCCGTCTGAATGAGATTAACTACTCTACGTAAAGTGACAGGTTGTTTCTCTTAAATTATGCCAATTAAAGAGTATTATCTTCTTTATATAAGAAGTCTGTTGCTGTTAAATCCTGGACACGTTTCAAGGTATATTTGCAACAAAGTGTGAAACATTCCGCAAATAATTCTGTTAAAAATGAGCTTAAGACCGATCGAATGGTAAGCAGAAACTATATATACAACCGTTTCTGCCCATTTTTCACATTTGCTCGTGGAATTCCCGAATTCGATGAGACCTTAAATGTATATATTTGTATAAAGATCTGTGCAAATGAGTTTGCATTCGAAATTTAGCCCATACAAACTTTGACAGGCACGTTTCAGCGATTAGGGATGAAATTTCTAAGAAAGATGCATAACATTTCACAATTAAATTTTCACAAAGATCTGTGGAAATGACTTTGATTTCATCAATAAACTTGCCAATTTTCCAGTTGCGTGTGGAATTTTCTAAATCAATATAAAAAAACACGCAAGGCATACCCCTAATAAAGTCATGCAAAGAAACTGTGAAATAATCAATTCGTTTTTTTTTTAATATTTTTCTAATCATGTTTATTCGATAACAATAAAAAAAAATATATTTAATAATACGATAACTTGTCTTAGCAAATATCTTACATCTTAACCGATTATTTGAAAAATATTTTCCTGCTATTATTTATTAGAAAACAGTAAAAAAAATGTTAATAATACGTTAACTCTTAACCGATTTAAACGATTTTAAAAAAAAAATATTTTTCTGATATTTTTTTTATTAGAAAACAAAAAAAAATATTAATATTACGTTAACTTTTCTTAGCCTATCCCTTACACATCTATCTCTGTCTCTCGCTCACAATCTCTGTCGCGCTTTCGCTCACTCTTTGTACAACTTAAAATTAGTGTAATGTAGAACGCCAGCGGCTGGTATCAATGGTCCATTGTCGTTATCGCTGCACCACAGCGGTCCACGCCGAAGTTTTGACGCATACGCTCCAGGGCAACTTGACTGAAGCCGCGGGCCATTAGCTGCGCCTCCGCCTGGGCGATCACCTCGCGCATGTAGTCCAGGGCGCCGGCGCTCTCCGTCAGTTGGCTGCAGACGAACTTGTGCCGGAAACGCAGCTTCGCCTTCTTGATCTTGTTGTTGTAGCGCGATTTGCGGCAGGATTCGGCGCGCTGGCGTTGTGCGTCGCGACTGTTGGGCGCGGTCTGGGTCTGGCACTGGGCGCGGGTCTGTGTCGTGGCTGCCAGTGTGATGTTCTGTGCTTTGGTTGGTGCCGCACGCCGCTCAACCACAATGGGATTCTCTATAAGCATTTGGTCCACATAGCGCTGCTCCTCGTCGGCATAGTGAGTCTTCAGATGCTGCAACTCCACGGCGACCAGCTCGTCAATTTGCTCCGGCTTATTGCCAGGCAATGCCGGTAGCTTAGTTGGTGGCACACTGATGCCATGCGTTGGATAGTGGCCCAGCTGTGTATAAAATTTGTGTAGATAAAGATTGCTCTGTTCCATAGTCAGTTGTTTGGTTTACTGATCGCCTTTAGCTGTTGATCTGCTTGCCCCGAAATCAGAACTGCAATTGCTGGCGACCACTTGTCGGCGCGCTGCTTTTATAGGCCGCCGCAACAGCGCACGCTCCGCCCCGGTCAGGTCAACCCGACAGCCTGCAAGGCATTTGCAGCCATTATGAATTAACTGGTGGCCATTTTATGATCACTTGTGCCTCGACCACATGCAATGTTGTAATGCCTACCTGGGCAAGTACCTGACTCAAGATTGACCCAGGAAAGGGCCACGTAAACAAACGGATTAGCGTGCAAGTTGTTTGCGACGTTCTTGACCTCATCTGGCATCAGGTGCTAACTATTTTGTTTCCGATTTAACTATTGAATGATGCGCGGTGTTAAATCACCCAACACTATGCGATAATATTAAATATTCGTTTTAACATAATATATAAATTGATATAAAAGATTTCTTGAAAAAACAAAAATCGGACATTAAGGAATACAAATAATATTTCACTTAAATTGCCTTCATTAATATTTTTAAATACAAATAATGGAGATTTTATATACGATTCTTCTTAAATATATGCTGATATATATAAGCATATGCTGGGAACTCTTTAATAATATTTGATTACCTTCATTTATCTAAAACAAAAATTAATATAAAAGAAAATTTAAAAATTAATTTGTGGATTATATAAATGGAAATATTTGATTTGAATTAATTTAATTTAATACGAAACTTAATATAAAACCGATTACCTTCGGCACGTCGAATACTGTAAACCATTATAAAATTACGGGGTTTTTCCGATTTTCCGATGTGTTTCCGGCAAATGATTCCTGTAGGAGCGATGTTTGAAGAATAGTAAAGCATCAAATTGTCAATCTTGGTGAAAATATTTTGATAAACAACAATTTTTGTGCTATTCTATACAGCTATTTGTTATAGCAATCGTATATATAGCTTAGAAGCATAATGAAGCCTTTCAACGTCAAGTTATCTTGAGAAAGTGACTATTTTTGCATACATGACTTAATTTTCGACCGGTCAATGGCAGCTATATGATAAAGTGATTCAATCCGATCGACTCCGACAAAGTATGTGCTGACATAGACAAGATTTTTATGGATCTAAGCCTGGTTGATTCTGAGCAAGAATATTTGAGTTCGGAGACATATTCCTACCTTTAGACTAATCGCCTTAGCTATATGATATAGTGGAGATACACAAGGAGCAGCCGCATGATATAGTAGTGCGATCCGGCCGATTTCGATATATGCAACAAAAAGACGGACCTATGCATAGTTTCAAGAGGGAAGCTTTAAAACTGAAAGATTAGTTCGCATATAAACAGAAATTTGGACGTACGTTCAGGCGGACATGACTATATCAAGTCGGCTGTGGATGTTGATCTAGAATCTATATACTATATGGGGTATAATAATAGATATATTAAGATCAGGCTGTTCGGCTCAGATGTGACAAATGTTAATAAAGTATCTGCGTCAAAAGGTACATATTTAGATTAGTGCGCATATACACCACTATCTGGCAACTAAGTATATATGGCTATGTAAAGTGAGATTTTCTTGTTCTATTGTAATCCAAACAGCGTGATCCGACAGCATTAAGATAAGAGCACAATCGAATAAGTAAGGTGCGACCGAGCACCACAGTGCGCAGCAAGTTGGAAATCGACTGAGCAAACAGTTTTGGCCAACACGACGCCAAGTTCAAGAGCGGCTTATCGGGCTGTCAATGTGGGAGAGGAGCTAAGCAACTGGCATTTACATTCGCACACTGATAATGGGAAAATTGTGGTGGGCGGAGGGTAGGCGATTGCGATAAGCGCTGTGCCATAAACCAATCAAGAAGCGTCTGAGTCGGCGTCTGTTTTGGGCTGCAGGGCGGCGTACCTGTGGCCGGGGCTTAACCCGACTGCGGTCTCACATCCTATGGCTGTTAAAGTGCTGCATGTGTCAGCCGTGGCACTCGTGGCAGGTAGCCATTTTGAGTTGATAGATTGGCCCGTCCCGACGATTTGTCAGGCCAGTGCTGGCCGGGCTGGCGGACATGTTGCTGCCTGTTGCAGCAGTTCACGTAGTGCACGTAGGTAAAAGCCGGGCAATGGGCACAACAATTAAATTAAGTGCCTCTGGTCCGACAATAACAAAATCTGTGCACAAAAACCCCAATAATACTATGTGACAGTGGACTCAATTTGTTGCATTACTGTACACCAGGGCGAAACAGCATAACAAAAATAAATATATTTTGCACATATTGTTAGCAAAACATGAGGAAAAGTTTCGCCTTTAATTGAGTTTAATCTTCTCCCGTTTTTTCCCCAGCATTTTATAACAATTTGAAACTTTATTTATATGTGCTTTTCCCAAGGCACTTAAAGCAATTTAGCCATCTTTAATATGATTATATATTTATTTATATGCCAGCCAGAAGTAGAAGACTTTTAAATTAATAAATTCCTAACAATTTCAAACAAATTTCGGGCAATATTTCAACCAGCTTTAGTTTTGTATGGTAGGAGAAAACTTTTCAAAAATAAATTCCCAACAAATTTCGGGCAATATTTCAACCAGCTTTAAGTTCTGATATTTATTTGATACTCGTTTATATTTTGCTTATGCAAAACAACACCAGCACGCCGAATATATAAAACCCTTGCACAAAACTTGAGTTTCGTCTGATCCCATATAACCCTATATGAGCCATAGAATAGTAGATAAGCTCAATATTATACAGTTTTTTTTTTCGAAATATCTTGAAAAGCTTGCCATAAAAAAACTACGCTTGAACCGATTTCTTCTACAGAGTAAGGTATATAATATAACATGGGAACACTCATAAATGCCAAGTTAAGTCGAGATATCTTTCGAAATTAAAGAGTATTTCGTGCTTGGACTAAATTTTGGATCACTCATTCCTAAGGCTGCGATTTCATATATACAAACATATGATATTAAGTTAGAACACAAATCGGTAGATAGCTTTATGAACTCGACAAAAGACACTGTTAAAGAATGTGAACATACTATATAGGGTCTGAAGAGGCGTCCCTCTGGGGATCGAAAACATCTTCTTCTTCGCGTTGCACATTTCGTAACAAAATAGTAATAGCCTCTATAAGGGTAGAAGTAGAGTAGAGATCTATCAAGGATAAATTTTATAATACGATTTCCTCTCTTTTACGAAACACGCTTTGTTTGGCTTTAATGCTCAACGCATGCCCAATCCGATTACCACTTCATTAACTTTTGGAGGCGCCACTCGGGTCATTAAAGATACAATTTTAACGAGCTGCCCGGCTGCAATATGCCAAAGATTCTTATGCCAGAAATTGTTTTTAGCAACTTGAATTTTAATTTTAATTCGCACAGTGCCCGGTTGAGCATCCTTCAAACTTATGCATGTACTTGACAATATATACGTATAAATGTGCATAGATGTTGTTATTTGGCCGAGAGAATAAAAATCGTTTACATCGCCTGTCGCTAGAAGGAAGCAGTTAGTCCAAAAATAAATTGCCCACCCCCGTTTTGGGGCAGAGACTGAGATGAGCTCTGTCAGCAACAGATCCCAAAAATTCTAACCAGTATTATATTACAAATCGACGCAAAATGTTATGATAGAAAATGAGATTCTATTTCCAGCTGGCTGCTAAATGTGAGTAGAAGAAAAAAAAGTCTGCTCATAAGTATAATTAAAAAACCATTTATAATCATTTTGTCGAATCCTCTGACCCAGAGCCAGAAGCCAAGCATAGAAACCAGCTTTCTCCTGCCCGCAGCCAAACCAGCTGCCACTTGAAGTCCAGCCAAGTCCGGCGCTGACAATTTCCGACTGTGGGCGCCCAAAAAAAAAAAAAAAAAAAACAAAAAAAAAAAGCAAAAAACATGCAGGACCCATAAATACGCACATAAAGCGACAGGGTCCATGCTCCATTCTCTGGGAAGAAGCCCGCAACGCCAATGCCATTGAGTTTGAATTATGTCAGCGCAGTAATAAATTGCTCAGGGCATTAAATTAAAATATACGATACGTGTGTGTGTGTGTGTCTACATGCAATTTTTGTGGCGCAACTAGAACGTGAACCCACACGTACAAACACACACACACATGAGTGGGGAGGCGGCAATGGACGCCCAATAGGATTTGTGGCGAGAATTTACTACAAAATGGCAAACATGTATCGCTTATACATATACATATACATATACACACATATATACACACATATATATGTATGTATATATTATATATATATGTATATATTAGTGGGTATGGAAATAAAATAGGATTTTGAGACATTCATTCGAGCCTGGACAACTCTTTTTTTTCCCTTTTTTGTTAAAAATATATAGCACAGTCTGGCAGGACACCCAACAGCATAGTGTTTAGGAATGTGGGCGGAAATGCCATCAAGGTGAGCATTTAAATAACTGTGCGGTTTTTAAATTACGATTATTGTTTAGTTGTTTCCCTAGGGTAAAATGCACAGAAAATGGAAAATGGAATGCTTAACGCTTGCAATTCTCATCAAGTTAAAGCACTTGCAAAGGGAGGAAAGCATTTGCAAATCCTAGAGTCGATGTCATTATCTGCTGGTTATAGTTGGTTATAACTGATTGTTTTTTTTTTTATTCCATTTTTATATATAAGTAGATATTTTATATTTATATAATATAGGTACTTATTCTAAAAATTTGATTTAAACCAATTGTCATTATTAATTTTGTGTATTTTACTTAAAATTTACATTTCTAGAGTCGCCAAGAGGTTTTTATGTATCCTCAACGAGAAGCCGCGTTCGAATGCCAGCCTAAGTATGATCTTAGGCAAAGGTCATAGTATCCAGAGCCATTTAAAAGGTAAGCCTGATCATTTATTTTTCGTTATATCCTATACTTCCAATACTTATAGAAAATGATATACAAAATATTTGTTACATTTAATATCTGATTTTAATCGCTGCGTTTTTCTTGATATATCTATTTGTAATATAGATTTATAAAAATTATTTATGTATAGAGAAATGCTATGATTTTCTCTTAATACTCAAGTTT